TCATTGTGTTGTCTCTTTTTCACGTGGGTTTGATAAACAAACTTGTTTCATCGTTAGAGTAGTGAGCCTTCTTGCTTTTCAATGAGACGTGATATCGTAGAAGAACTGGGAAGCAATGATGAGATCGCAGGACGTTGAAGGTGTAACGGCAATTTTTAACGGTGTTTGCTTTATTTAACAGCAAGAACCAATAGATCTAAAAGTAAAAAATTAAAGGACCTAATAAAAAGAAAAAAAAGCTTAAGGACTTGATTTAAAATTGACCAAATTAGTTTTCCCTAATAATAAAACAGAAAATCACCGAACATTTTCCTTCCAATCTAAGAGAAAAACCTTTTTTTTTTAATCATTCAATAAAAAATCACGTATTTATTATATTGACAACTTTATATTTAAAAAGAACTCAAGAAAGGGATCAAGTTTTACTGGGTGGAAAGAACCCAACCTCTAAGGTGAGCCCTTTGGAGCTCGCAAACATCTTGCACTGTTTACATTTTACAGGGAAGATTACAACAAAGTTTTTAAAAAAATAATTATTATTAAATCTCAATAATAAATAAGAAGTTATTATTTACTATCCTGAAACCTATCATTATAATTTGCTCTATAATTTAGTCCTTGTGTTTTTGAAAAATAAAATTATATATATAATAAAAGGAGGGACTAAATTATAAAATAGTTAAAACTATATGGATCGAGTTGCAGCGAGTCAGACTTTAAGGACTGAGTTACAGCCGAGTCAAAACAAGAAGGACTGAGTTGTACCGAGTCAAAGTATAGGAACTGAGTTATAAATGAGTGAAAACTATAGGGACTAAAAGATTAATTTTTCCTATTTTATATTAATGTTAATTTATGCACGGACAGAGAAATAATTATAAAATACATTCAAAAGACAGAATGAGAAAAAGTCACCGAACCGAACATATGCTTCATGTTGGGCGCGTAAAACGAGTCAAACTTTATGTTGTAATGTCTAATTGCTCACAATGGCCAAGTAAAAAGCAACCAGATTCGAATTCGTGTCATTTCATTGGACTTTTTTAGGTCGTGCCCCTTTTTTTCCCTCAAATTAACTGTAGAAAGTTTGACTCAAGAATATTAAAAAGATTCCTCTAATTTATTTAAAGAAAATTAAAATTCGATTCTGGATCATTAGTTGCTGTCATATGTGGGTATTTTTTTTTCTCTTAAATATATGTATTCTTCTATTAAAGATAATCATATTCAAATTATTATTAGGTACTAAATGTGAACATATCTCAGAATAAAATTAATTTTTATATGCTATGAAAAATTAACTCCTTTTATTAAATTTAACTATTGCTTTTTCCCTTTTTCTTTTTTCAGTAGTTTTGCGCAATAACATAAGCAGATGTCAAAATGAGGCCAATGGAAATCAAATCTGTCATACGCTGAGACGGTGCTTCAAGCATCATTGATTTAATGGTTTTTTCTTTGTGCTATCATGACCAACATTTAAATAATACTCCTCCGGTCCTTGGACCTAATTCTTATGTTAGTTTTGGTCCTAAATATAAGACCCATTTTTTATATTTATCAATTTTCTCTAAATTACCCCTATGGATACTCCCTCAACTATAATCAAGTAGAAGAAGGAGATGAGGTATTAAGAAAGATGATTGTGGTGTTTTAGGAAAAATGTGTCACTTTTCTTATAATTAACTAACTTACCTAACTTCCTTAATCTAATCAAATTAATTAAATGGATCTTATATTAAGGACTGGAGGAGTACTATAATTGATCCTAGAAAGAATACTATTTAAAAAAATTAATTAATATGTTAACATGACATTCATGTATGACCTATACAAGATCCAACATAACAAAGTTATTAAAACACTAATTTGACAGGTTATTGTTTTTTCTTGTCCTTTTTAACTCAAAATAACGTTAATTTAGGCACAGTAAGGAAAAAAAATTAGAAGATCCAACACCAAAAACTCTTAACCGAACTAATAAAAAATTAATTTATCGATTCACCAATCGAATCACCAGACTCGAGTTTGAACACTACTAGAGACAAACATGCTCATGGTTTTGCATTTTTTAAGGCCACAAGACCGTGGTTTCTTGTCGGCTCCAAGTTTTCTTATCATTTTTTATTCTTTTACGTTAGCCATGTTAGTGGGGCAGAGAAGAGAAGCTAAACCCATATTAGCAGTAGTTTATCAGGAAGTGCATCTTTATGATGTGAGCCACATAATCCTAGATTTTCACGCAAAATATTTTCATCATAATAAAATTAAACTTTATGTAAGATTGACAATAATTCTTCTTTTTTTTAAAATTAAAAGAGTAGGCACTAATGAATAATGATCTAAGATTACAAGTAAAATCAAACCAGTGACTTTCCACTTACAAAAAGCTCTTATGTCATTAGGTTATAAGGTGATTCGCAAATTGAAAATAATTCTAAGATCAAAGTCAATTTTACTGATTGATTGGACTTAATACAAACTTTGAAACTAAAATGTGATTTGGTTACTTTATCATGGCCTTATGTTTGGTGTATTAGATAACCAATAAAATGCCCCACTAGTTTGTGAGGGATATGGGCCTTGCTATCTTCGCTCCGATGCTTTTCCCTCCTGAGTGTTAATATGGGCTCATTTATGTATGCTGCTGGGCAGAGGAATAAAAAAACCAATGGGTTGATCTAATAAAAAGAACTAATCTCTCACAACACGACGAATTAATATTAACAGTCTATAAGATTATTATTATTTACTTAAAAAATACATAAATAAACTTGAACGGCTAAAATATGATATGAGTTGTTCCCAAGAATCACAACTGTGAATTATTATTATAAAGTAGATTTTTTTTCCTATTTTCTTCATTAAAGTTGTAAATTTTTCAGATTATATTTTAATAATTTAAATTTATTGATGTTTTTTTAAGTAAAATTAGAATAATTTTGTGAGAATTACAATGCAATTTCAAGGAAAGAAAATAATTACTAGTAAATCCTAATGATAATGAAAGAAAATAATTACCTGCTCTGTTGTCACTACGATTTTTTAATAGTTATATTCCTTACTACTTGAAACTTCATATCAATTCTACCAATATTTTTTGGCCAAAAATAATAATATTTTTATAAAGTATTAAATTTGGACCATTAAAATTTGATCCAATAGTAATGAAGTAGGTAGAGGAGGGAAAGGGTAAAGGAGAAAAAGTTGATTCTCATATTTATTACCCGATAGTATCTCAAACAGCTCTCAATATGAGGATACATTTGCCTGCCCAAAAAATTGGAATAAGAAAGAGGATATGAAATGAAACAGGAAAATTAATATGATTTTTTGTTTTTTATTATGTGGAAAGTTCATTATATTGAGGATTATATTATATTGGTTTAAAGGCAAAGCTGTTGATTAGTGACCTAATTCTTTCTTATTTATGCGTGGGATTTGCATTCGTAAGATCATGAGCCGTATTTGAATTGTCAGAATATGTCTTTGTTAAGACCTTCGCAATGATGGACCATTATAATAATTTCATTAATATTATATATATATATATAAAGGTGGCTTACGTGCCTCAATCAAATCCTGTACCTACCCACTATTTTTAATTTTGTCCTATTACTACTCCTTCCGTTCCAAAAATATTATTTTGAAATATTGTTCACACATATTAAAAAATTATAATAATTAAATGACCTAACTTATTAGTATATACAAAAGTTGATATTGTACTTGTGACACAAGTTTTTAATGGGAGTTAAGACAAAGTCCCAGATCGAATGGAATTGGATCATATGTAAGACATTGACAAAAAGAGAAAATGACCTGCATAGACTGAATGGCTTGAGACATTCAATACAGAAAGCCCAAACGTATGAGGTATGTAGTTTTGACTTGGTTGGTGCAAGTCTAACCGTGTGATGATAGCCAGCTGATTGTTTGTCTAATGATAAATTATGACAAAAAGATAAAATTCAACTATTCAACAAATTAAATATATCATCATGAATTTGTGCTTTATTTTATTTTTTAATAGGCTCACAACCTCACACTTGAAACAGAAATAGTTAAAAGATCAAGTATATGTGAATGAGATTTTTCCGGTTCTCTCGTGAAAATGTCCTCTCAATGTTCTAACACCTATATCGAAAATGGACCGAACTATCTCACGACTTTCGAAACTCAACTTACATACCACTTTAATGGATGAATAGCTTAACCCATAGAACATGCTATAGTCCCAAAGTTGATATTGAGGTGCCAAACCTTCTTATCGATGTAAGTTCTTGGAGAAGATTAGCATGTTATTCATAGAGTAATAAATTGTGTTAAAATAAAGTTATAATACTTCCTTCGATTATTATTTTAATTAGAAGAGCTAGTAGAAGAATTTATCTTTGTTGTATCAACATGACGATTGCAGATTCCATTATATTGTGTTATGAAAACAAATTGATTGCACTTCATGTTGCGATGATTAATTTTTAAAAACAAGACTATTAATTCGCATGACTCCTTCAATATTACATTTCATTAACATATGTTGCATCATACCTATTGCTTTAAAAGTTGGATTTGTTCTTGGGAGAATTACAATAAGATCCCAAGCAACGAAAACAATTGAAAAACAAATCTCAGATGTTGTTATTTTTTCTATAGGACTTATCATTATAGGCTGTTCAGGTTGTTATTAGGACCTTTTAGTAATTGTTTCTCTTCTATGGGACTTGATTGTAATTCTCCCTTTGTTCTTCACAAGTTATTGATTCTTTCTATATATAACAGCTGCTTACACGTCTTAGATTACCCCCTCAAAAGAGAATAGCTATATACAATACAATTTCACACCTTTTTGGGATAAACACATCAGTTTTTTTTTTTTCCTCAGAATTAACGAAAAGTAGAAACAGTTATTGGTAATCCCTGAACCTTTTCTGAGGGATATATGTCTAACCTCTGGCAGCCAACGTTGTTCCAAGAAAAAAAAAATATATATGAACAAATGAACAGAACAAAAGGCACAAATAAGAAAGTAGTAGAAGAAGAAGATTATATATATTACATAGCGTTTAATTCACGAGAAGCAACCAAGACCTTGGAAATCTCATAGATGAGCCTAGCTTCAAACTCATTCATGGAAAATTTTTGTGTGACTTGACGAGCTTTTGGAATCCTCTTTTGTCCAAAAGCATTATCACCAACACCATTAATACTCAAGCTTCCTCCTACTTTCCCAGACAACTTCAGCATAAAGTCAATATAAGCATTCTTTAGCTTATTCAATAGCTTCAATGGCGACTTAACCACCAAACTCAGCTTTGGGATCGCCTTGATCCTCCAATACTTCCTCGATCCTTTCAACCGAATCATCTTCGACATCTTCTTCTTCGCTTTCCCGGCTGGGACACTCCCACCGAGTCGCCGGTAACGCATCAGCCGCCAATTCGCCTTTAGGCCGCCGGAACTTGACCTTGGCAAGAGGGATTCCGTTTCCATGTTTTGCATGGTGAGAGAGAGAGAGAGAGAGAGGATGAATTTTAGTGATGAATGGCTTAGACTTAGAGGCAGAGATTGTAAAAGTATGATTATAAATAAGGATAATATGGGAGACGCATTGAATTTTCAATTTTCAATAGATGGACTTTTTGTTTGGTGTTACCATGGGAGGAATCGTGGACTTGGATTTTATCTTTTTCTTTTTTTTTTCTTTTCAAGTATGCCTTAGGGAAAATTACAAATAAAGACCCCCAATATATAAAATGGCAATCAGGGACCCTAAATTTGAGAAATTACTCACAAGGACCCGGTCCCAATTTGCAATTATGAAATCATGGTCAAATTACCAAAATACTTCTCTTTAATTTTTTTTTTAAAAAAGAACACCACTGCCTCTCCGGAATCCGACCATCGGCGTCGGAGATCCAGCCGCCGGAATCTGGCCGTCGGCGCCGGAGCTCCGACGGCCGGCGGCCGGCAGCCTTCCTTTGTTTTTTTTTTTTTGCAACTGTTTTTTTTTTAAATAGGGGGGAAATGAGGTTGGGGAGATTTGATCCTCCAACCTAATGCTTCCCAAAATTAAGAATGACCATCGAGCCAACAAATTTTTGCTAACATTATAATACAAAAAACAATATAAGTTAACTCATTTACTCTTGTTCCAGGTGATAACAATACATTTAGAAATAACAAGTTCTAATTGTAAAATAACACGTCTGGAATGAAATTTAACAATATTTTTTTTTTATAACAACAAATTTTGTTGCAGGTGATAACAACAATACATTTGAAAATAACAAGTTCTGATTATAAAATAACAAATCTGGGATTAAAATTTAACAACATGTTTTTTTTATAACAACACACTTTGTTTCAAGTGATAACAACAATACATTGGAAATAACAAATTCTGATTATAAAATAACTAGTTTGGAATTAAAATTTAACAGCACCTTTTTTTTTATATAACAACACATTTTATTCCAAGTGATAACAACAATACATTTGAAAATAACAAGTTCTGATTATAAAATAAGAAATTTGGAATTAAAATTTAACAACACATTTTTTTATAACAATTAATTATTTTATACTTTTAAAAAATAAATTATTTATAACTTATAAAAAGTATTTTTAATCTATTTAATTTGCTAAAAAAATAATTTTTATCTCCAATTTATAAACAGAACTTGAAGTGTAATTTATTATAGATTAAAAATACTTTTTTATTGTTCAAATTTATAAATAAAATTTAGGGAAAATAACAACACACTTTTTAAATTTTTTTTAAAAAAATTTTTAATCTATATATCTATACAACTCATTATAAATCAAACTACTTCTTATAAATTATAAATAGTACAATTTATTCTAGATTAAAAATACTTTTTGATTGCTTAAATTTATAAATGAAATTTATCTCTAATTTATAATTAAAAATACTATTTTATTCTTTAAATATAAAAACTATTTTTAATATTTAAAGAATGAAATAATAAATTATACTATAATATTTAAATACTTAATAATAAATTTTAATATTTAAAGAATGAAATAATATAAAAATTTATACTATGATTTATAGATTAAAAATACTTAATTATAAATGCTTCATAATTTATAAGAAGTAGTTTGATTTTGTAATGAGTTGTATAGATATATAGATTAAAAAGTATTTTTTAGAAAAAATAAATATATTAAAAATATTTTTATAAGTTATAAATAATTTATTTTCCAAAATCATAATATAAATAATTTTCTAAAAAACGTGTTGTTAAATTTTAATTCCAGACTTGTTATTTTATAATCAGAACTTGTTATTTCCAAATGTATTGTTGTTATCACCTGAAACAAAGTGTGTTGTTATAAAAAAAAAAACGTGTTGTTAAATTTTAATCTCAGACTTGTTATTTTATAATCAGAACTTGTTATTTTCAAATGTATTGTTGTTATCACCTGCAACAAAATTTGTTGTTATAAAAAAACATATTGTTAAATTTTCATTCCAGACGTGTTATTTTACAATTAGAACTTGTTATTTCTAAATGTATTATTGTTATCACCTGGAACAAGAGTAAATGAGTTAACTTATATTTTTTTTGTATTATAATGTTAGAAAATTTTGTTGGCTCGATGGTCATTCCTAATTTTGGGAAGCATTAGATTGGGGGATCAACACTTCCCCCCTATTTAAAAAAAACAGTTGCAAAAAAAAAAACAAAAGAAGGCCGCCGGCAATGGCCGGAACCGGCTGTTGGTGCCGACGGCCAGATTCCAGCGGCCGGAGCTTCGGCATCGACAGCCGGATTCCAGAGAGGCAGTGGTGTTCTTTTAAAAAAAAAATTTGAAGAAGGGTATTTTGGTAATTTGACCATGATTTCATAATTACAAATTGGGACTGGGTCCTTGTGAGCAATTTCTCAAATTCAGGGTTCCTGATTGCTATTTTATATATTGGAGGTCTTTATTTGTAATTTTTCCTATGCCTTATCCTATTGGGTAAAATCAATTACATGGATGATAATAATATTGTATTCTATCAATAATTAAATTTTTGAATAACATTGTACCCTATTTTTTTATGCCTTCTTTTTCTTTTTAGTTATATCAATTTATTAGATACAAAGTTATAAACCTTTTACGTCTTTTCTTTAATTTAACATCTTCTATGTTAAAAATTTTAAATCATGAAACTAAAATAATTAATAATTAATTTTCAACTATAAATAAAAAAATTTAAAATTTGTAAAATTATAAAATAAAATACTAATGCGCTATTTTTCCAAAAAGAAAAAAAAGGAATACCGTCCACAACAACTCTCAGATGGATAAATCCTCACAGAATAAAGCTGTGAGATTAAATTTAATTGGAAGTTAATTCAACCTTTCATTCTAAAATAATACGAAAGAATAAGAAAATTTTCCAGTTCAACGCCACGTAGAATTGACAAAAAGTCATCATCCATAATAATTATTTTATATATATGTTATAAAATCACAAAGAACGATGCAATAATAATTTATACATGGCGTGGGAGATAGACTATTCAAAGATCAGAGGATTTAATTTTCATGATCAAAGTCAACAACGTCGGTTTGACCGAAAATTAATATTGTGCGGCTTCAGTCCATGTTTGAGGGGGACAAATTAATTGAAAAATCATAGTACATATATTTAGGCAAGAATATTAAAAGTTTAAAACCGTACAACTACTGATTAATTAATATGTTAATTTAGTTATATTTTTATAGTATGGACACTTACATGAAGTTCGATTCAAAATATTAATTCTTAATATATTGTGGGTATTATAGATATTTCTCTCCATACCCGATGTGATCAATCAAGATCACACCATGTCGCCGGGGGGGGGGGGGAGATCACACCATAACTACTTAAATATTTACTCAATTAATGCATGAAATATATATTAATATCATATATGTTTGTACTCGATTATTCTTTTTCTTTTTCTTTTTCTTTTTTTTTTGCCAACGTTTGTACTCGTTTATTCATTATTAACTTTCTTATCAAGTAAGGATATTTAGAAGCATGAAGAAAAAAGAGAAACCGAAAACACAAGCATTATCAAAGAAGTTTAAATGGTTTCATCGTTGCAAGAAAAGAAAATCTACGGAAATGAAGGGGAGAGGAGGGGAGGATAGGAAAATTTTTAATGTGTATAATTTAAAAAATTGAAGAGATGAAGTTAAAAGTTTTTAATTAATTTTTCTTACTCTTTTATCTTACATATTCTTTTTATTAAAATTTTATCACTTCATTTTTCCAATTTTTCAAATTGAACTCATTAATATTGTCTTTTCTCTCTCATTTCTTTCATTTTTCTCGTACCAAAATATGGAGTAAAATAATGGGAGGCAGGATAAGATAGTTGCATTTTAAAAAATACTTTTAGAAAGAGAATGATTATTATAATAGATAAATCTTCAGGCAACTACTGACATTCAATGGGTTTCGACTTTTGAGTGATATTGGTTGGGCTCAATTTAAATAACTTAGTTAATAATTTTATTTATCCATAAGGTTTAAATTCTCAATTTTGCCTAAAGAAAAAACGAATAATTTTCACTAAACTCAAACACACAGGCCAGGTTCCAGTTTTAAAGTTGCGGTAGTAAATAATTGGATTATTATAATTTTTAGTCTTATAAATTTAGTCTCATTTTGATTTTAATCTTTCAAGTTTCAATTTACAGGTTTATGTCCCTCAAGCTTATTTCCGTTTAAAACATTGGTCCCTATAATTTAATAAAAACCTAGATCATTTTGCCTTTTGAATAATTAAAACTTATGATTTGAAACTTGAGGAACCAAAAACAAAATAAAAACAAACCTGAATGACTAAAAATTATATTAATCCTAAATAATTTTGACCAAATCATATGGACATACCCTATTGATATATACATATCTTATTATTTAGTTCAAAACCACTGTTTTGGACTTGCCAAAATTTTTGGAGAACCACTTTTGAAATTAGAAAGTATAAAAATTGTCCAATTCATGCCTTCTAAGTCATGAAGCATTTTATGAACCATTTTTATTGATATCATCATCACAGTCGTCACCTTCGTCTCATAACGTTATTGCCATTTATCATCTTTGTCGTTCTTATCATATTTATAGTTGTGATTAGTGCTTCATTTTTCTCTTCGTCATAATTATGAGATAGACACTTCACCCACCTAGCTTGTTTCTAGAAAATTTTGGGACTTTTAGGAAATATTATTGAAGAAATATGATGTAATATGGTTCATCAATACTTGCATTTGTATGAATTTTTTTTATAGTTTTCTGACTTCCAAAATATTTATGAAAATTTTTTCATTGAGTAATTTTAATATTTTACCCTCAATAAGAATATATTTCATTATTTTGATATAACACAGTTGATCGTATGAGAAAGACAGGCGATCTTATATAAAATTTAAATAATCTAAAATTATAAGAATTGTTTTAGCTATGGTGAATGGGCACAATTATGGATACTGTCAAATGTAAATAACAATTTGAGCAA